AAACTCTCTGAATGTTTCCTTTTTTACAGAATCTGTTTTGAGTGTAATTAGAAATGTGGTTCGTTTGTGTCAACGTTTTAAGTGCAACACGTTGAATAAAGTTATGTTGATGAAATATAACCACCAGCCGGGTCTCCAGCCTCAGAACTGAGTGGGTTTAATGGTCCAGATATGATGTCGGAGGCAGTTTTCATTCCTCAGTCAGAGCTGGAGCCTAAAACACTCATTAACATGGAGGAGGTATCAGCCTGCTCTGTAATCAGCTGCCTCGTATGATTACAGCGTCTCTGCTCCCTGAATAAACCGGGTTTCCTCTCCGTCCGACATCAGACTGAAGAACTGAGCTGCAACTCTCAGATGGAACATTTCACGTGACACTTCTGTCTGATAGAACATCTTTGGTTCACTTTCTTTAAAACACACAGACGACTGTGATGTTGATGTCTGACGTAGATCAGATCCTGTGGTGTGAGTCGTCACAGGAAAACTGTCCAGAAAGACTTCAAGCTGACAGCCAGGACAATAAAAGGTTGTTCAAAAGAACTAAAACTGTCCAAAAGGGATCAAAATGTGTCCTAAATGAAAGCAAACTGACCACAATGACTAAAACGTATCTAAAATACTCACCATTTGTCCGTAATGACTCAAACCAGTCCGAAATATGAAAGAAACCCTGAATGTGTTCAGAAAGTGTCCAACAGGGTTCATTAGGCGACTCAGAACTTGTTCAAATGAAAAAAAATGTCCAAAAATGATTTAAAGTTGTCCAAAAAACTCAACATTTCTCCATCTCTCACCTGTTTGTGTCTCTGTCTCTCACCTGTCTCTCACCTGTGCGTCAGTGCCGGTCATCAAGGTCCCTCCTCAGAACCAGGTCAACGGGACGGGCAGCAGTCTGGTGTTTCTCTGCGAGGTCTTTGCGTTTCCGATGGCTCTGGTCGAGTGGAGGAAGGAGGGACGAGACGTCGTCCTGCCCGGAGACGACCCTCACATCTCCGTCCAGGTAGGACGCACCTGAGCCTGTAGCCCCGCCCTCTCTTAAAGGAACAGTACAACAGTAGTACGTCTTTCTGAGCCAGATCAGAGGGCAAGCCTCAGCAGCTGATTTCTGATCGGCTCTCCCAGTCTAGGGGCGGGCCTCTTAAATTCGAGCTCTCCAGTTGGCTGCAGATCGAGGGGGCGGAGCCCGGAGACTCTGGAACCTATCGCTGCATAGCTCGCAACAACCTGGGATCAGTCTCCGCCTCCGCCGTACTGGGAGTTCTGGGAGCAGGTGAGACGACAGTCAACACTGAAACTAGAAAATAAATCTCAAAATAAGAATAAAAAGCTTTGCTACCACCTGTCTGTCTGTCTGTCTGTCTGTCAGAGGAGCTGTCGTCCTACTTGGCCAACAGTGTGTCTGAGATGAAGCAGCTGATGGAGGCCACAGACTACGACCAGGACTTTTATTGACCTTCAGGTGATGTCACTTCCTCTGTCCGGCGGCCATGACAGCGGTCAGGTGACGGTCAGGTGACGGACTGAACAGACTTTTGTTTTGGAACCAAAGAGGCGGAGCTCAGAGGTGCAGATCAGCTGATGAACGCTATCATATTAATAGTTATTCTTCTCTTTGTACATGAACGTTACTCTGACGCCACTCGGGGTCGCGACTCGGAGGCTCAGCATGTTGAACATGTTGTTGATGTCGCAGGTTCAAGCCCGAGTTCCCTGTCGCTGCCGTCGGTGTGAAACTTTTTTTAATATTAATTAAAGGAAAAAGAACAAACAAGTGTTTCTTCTTCGCTGCTCCTGCATCACGTCATCAGTCAGTTCTGTGTGACTTTGTGTTCAAACACCGGGTAGCATCAACTCCTCACTGATGCTGCTTCACGTAAAACCAACGTTTGCAACAAGGCCGCTGAAAAAAAACTAAACCTTCTGGAAGGAAACAGTTCATATGATGTTCTTAGAGAGAAACTAATCCTGACTTAAGACCAACAATGTTTTTTCAACAAATCTTCAATTAAGACCAAAGTGTTCCAAGTAAAGATCAACAAGTCCAGACTCACGACCAAAAAGTTCCAAGACTAACAAATCCTGACTATAGACTAGCAAAGTCAAGACATACAAATCATGAGTCAGGATCAACAAATCCTGAATCAAAATCAACAAATTCTCCATCATAACCAAGTTAGTTATTTCTAAGACGAACTAGTCCTGAATCCAGACTAACAAATTACGATTTGAATTGACAAATCAAGTCCGGATAAACAAATGCTCAATCAAGACCAACGACGTCTAAGTAAAGATCAACAAATCCTCAGTCAAGATCCCCAAATTCTTAGTCAAGACCAACAAATCTTGAGTTTGGATCAACAAATTCTGATACGAGACCAGTAAATTCCAAAAAAAGATCAGCAAGTCATTGACTGAAGCTGTGGGGTTCAGGTTCCATCAGAACTTCAGGATTCAGGAACCACAAAGGGGATTGAGGGAGGTTAAACTTGAAGATCGTGGCCCGACCCGACCTGACCCGACCCGCTCACTGCTGCTTAAATCACATTATAGCGAGTTTAAACTGGACCTGAAGGAGCCGAGCTGCTGCTCCTGCTGAAAATGACAGAACCAGATTTAGACCAAAGGAAGCTGGAAGTCCTCAGAGAGCAGCAGCAGTAATGAAAACCTCTCAGTCCGTCTCCATTCAGAGGAAACCGAAGCAACATGTGGTGAATCCATTAACCAGCAGGACCTCAGCAGCTGAACTGCAGCTTCACAGCAGCTCAACACTGTATAGAATCTGCTCAGTGTTTAACTGTTCTACGTTTTCCTTTCTTTTCTTTTACAGAGCATAACATCACAGGGAAAAGTCAGAATTTACATGCTGATGGTTAAAAAAAGGTCAAAACTGTAAATAATCTGCATTTTTATGAGCAGTAATTCTGTTCATTCCTTCACAATGTTTACTGCTGACTGTCTGAAGAAACTCTTAAAACAGAGGAATAAACACCAGAAGCATCAGAGCTTGGACTGTTTATAAAAGATGGACATCCACTGGTTTGCAGACTGCTGTTTTGAAGCCTTGAGTTTGGAAGGTGGTTGTTGCTACTGTGGTCTCTCCCGACTCAAGTTTTCAATTAAGACCAACTACTCTTGAATCAAGATCAACAAATCCCAAATCCTGACTCAAGACTGAAAAATCCTGAGTCTAGACCAACGGGTATCAAGTAATGGTTGCTAACGCTGCAGTCAAGACCAACAAGTCCAGTGTAAAGATCACCAAGTCCTTCGTCAAGATCGAGAAGTCCCAAGTCAAGACTAATAATTCCTGACCAACAAATCCTGATTTTTAAAACCTACAAATCCTTATTTGGGACCAACCAATCCTGACTCAAGACCAACAAATCCTTAGTTACGACCAACAAGTCCCAAGTCAAACTAACAAATCCTCACCCAAGGCCAGAACATTCTGGTCATGACTCAGGATTTGTCGGCCTTCAGTCCAGGTACCAGATCAGGTGAGAAGTCGGACCATGTCCTCACAGAGTTCTGTACCATCAGATTTATTTTTTAAGCCAGAGGCGTCGCCCCCTGGTGGCTGTTACACAGAATGCAGGTTCAAGACTCTTCTGAGACTTTTCCAAACTGTGTGCACCAGAAAAAGACGCTTTTTCTGACTAATTCATGCAGCTTTTGTTATGCAGATGTTAAAAGTGCATGAAAACAGACGGATGGAAACACTTTGTGGCTCTGTGACTAAAACCAGCTCCGTGAATATCCTGGTTTGCTGGTGAGAAACCTGAGCTGAGAGCCGACTGGAGGCGAACATTCATCAGTCACATGTCACTCTGCTCAGCTGTCCACATACTTCTGGTCGTGTGTGTTATTTTCTTCTCAGAGAGGCTTTTTCCAACCACAATGAAAAACACATTTTACTGTGAAGAGACGATAAATCAATAACAGACGCCCAGTTTATTTATATTTCTATAGTGTGTGTGTGTGGACTCATACGTCTATATTTGTGAGGACCAGATGGAGTTTTTACAGCACATTCAGTTTGATTTTTCCTTAACAAAAGACCTTTAAAGGCTTCTTCAGGGCCCAGGTTAGAGTCCCGGTCAGATGCTGTGGATTTATTGTGACACTGGCGGTCCTCACAGACATAGAGGTTTGTTGTGTTACATTCCAGGCTGCTGGAAACAGTTTTTACTGTATAAAGTGAAAAACCAGAGCAGCAGCAGCAGCAGCAGCTATTTAAACCTGATACGTCCTCAGTGGAAACACATTCGGGTCACCGATGGAGTCCAGATTCAGCGTTTTTACCTTTTCAGGAACAATCTGGCTCCAGAGCAGTGTGCTGGTGGACATTACAGAGGTCAGTGTTGTAGACCACAGCGTGGCCTGGTGGTGGCGCTGTTGACTCTGTGTTCCACAGCCTGAACCGAGACACACCGGTACAGAAACGTTTGTCTTATTGTCGCTGTCACACGATGCTGCAGCAGCTGAGCGCCAGCTTCACTACAGAACAGCGTTTCCTGTGCTGATCTGCAGCTGACTGTAAAAGCTCTGAAACATCATGAATGAATGAACTATTAGTGGCTCGGGTGGTTCAAGAACTCATTTAGAAGGTTTAGGTGCTTCGAAAATTCATTTATGTGGTTTTCGTATTCTTGTAGAACGTCCTGGAGGTCCACTGTTTTTGTTATTGCAGGTTTTGATGGTCATTAAGGGGATCACTGAGGAGATCCTGGCTCACTTTGGGCAGGTTCTGGTGGTAACTGAGGGTGACGGGGTTGTGTCTGAGGTGGCCGTGATCCTGTAGCAGGCTTTAGGTTCCTTTAGTGATCACTGAGGAGGTTCTAGAGGCCGTACTAGCAGTCTTAGTTTACGTTCCACTAGAAATGCTGAAACTCCCACAGGAGGTGTTTGTGCTCCTGAAAGGGTTCTTGGGTTAATTTAGGTGGTTCTAGGTCTAATGTAGGAGGTTCTGTAGGTCTCTAGGTTCCTCAAATGTCAGAAAGTTCCACTGAAAGTTCTTCCTTTGTTATCATGTAACGTTTTGGACACAACAGTGGAGCAACTGTTAGCCAGAGACTGTGATCAGTGATTATATCTGATTGATCAGTGATTACTGTCTGATTGGTTCTGGTTGGTTCTCTGTGAGAACTCACAGAAACAGGAGCTCTATAGAGTGTGTGTGTCCTCCAGGTAGAGAACAAATCACAGTTTCTGACAAATGATGGAGCGTTTCAGGAACGTTTATCATCCAGCGTCGTGACTTTAACGTTCCTGATGGAGACGCAGAGTTCTGGTCCACTTCGGTGACGTCGTGTTTCTGAGCCGTGTTCATCACTTTCTCTCAATGCTCGTGTGCTGTCAGCGTTTGAGCCTCCAGGGCCACCGTACTGTCAGGAATCAGTGTCCAGAACTGTTCAGCAGAACCACTAATGATTGCTCACTGACCATGTTTTGCTTCGTGACACTTTTCCTGCCATAAACCTGTCGTGGGAAGTGTTTCAGTCTGTTTTCAGTCTGTCTGCTCAGTGAATCCAGGAAATACCAGCAGATCCACTGCAACCTGCAAATGACTTCCAGACGCCATCAGCCAATCAGAGGCCTGGAAACACAGACGCACACAATACAGCAGTTAATTTATGAGTTGATTTAACAGGACCACACGGACGAACACGCAGCTCATTTACAGCCCTGTCCTTGGGTTTTATTGATCTTCTGATTCATTCTCCTGCAGGGACCAAACATTCACCACCTGGGAGTCAGGGGAAGGATTTAATAGCTTTGAATTTCAAAGAAAGCCAGTGTTTTAAAACGAGTTGTTTAAATAATAATAATAATAATAATAATAATAATAATAATAATAATAATAATAATAATAAATTACTAACAGAATGAGTTTGTGTCATTTATTTGTTTGTTTGCGTGTTTGTTTTGTGCCTGTTGTTTATAAAGATGCAAATCCTCCAACATGTGCTCATTTTTCTGAATATATTTGTCGGAAAACAGAAAGAAAACAAAACAAGATTTTTGTGACGGACCAGGAGAGTGTGTGGGTGACCAGCCGCTGCCCCTCCGGCCCTGCAGGGGGCGACACCGCAGCTCACAGCCAGCCAGCGGCGGCTGTTTACATGAAGCCCAGTTAGCTTTAGGTTCTGCTGAGCGCTGAGGTGAGTTAAATAAACATGCAGCTAAACTCAAACGTACGTTTCTGCTGATAATAGCTGTGAATAAATGTCAGACATGAGACCTGAAACTGAGTTTGTGTAGAAAAGCCGCTTGTTAGCTTTAGCTTTAGCGTAGGCGCGTATAGCGCGAAATTCCCGTTTAAAAAACACACATTTAGTGTTTATTTGCTTCTCAACCGAGTAACGTCCATCGTAATAAACACATTAGTACATTTTAGCAATCAGTGAAAGTCCTTTTTTAACTCGGCTCACGCAATAAGCACCAAACTGTCCTAAACCGTCCACAAAGTTGGTGTAATTTATTTAAGAAGTCAGCTTCTGCCTTTGTAGGGACCAGTGAAGCTAAAACTCTACAACATATTAACAACATTATTAGTTAAGGAAACGTAATCCCTTTAATACCTGAGAGAGACAAAATATTAAAATCAGCAGTTTGTTAGGAGAAAAATGCTTTATTTTATTGTGTTAGTCAACCACATATCGTGCAGGATTTCTATTTAAAAACAGCTAATTTAAAGTTTGTTTGCTAACCAGCCAACTAACATCCACCAGAATGAATGAATGAAGACATTTTAGGAATTTCTGACGT